CCACCACGGCACGACACTTCGCGCTTGGCGAAGCATCCTCAAGTCAGGGACTATTCCAGGCTATGTCGATCAGTCTTATCAGAGAGACAAACGTGAAAGAGGATCCCAACGCTCGGAGGGATTTTACAGTTCCAGCACCTATGTGCATACCGCCAACAAGAACCCTCACACCTCGGTCCAATCGTACCAGTTCAAGCACTACAAGAACGAGGTGGAGCTGGTGATCGACATGCAAATTGCCGCGAAGGCTGGATGCATATTTTGGCTGGGAGCACAGTGCGCTATCATGACTGAGGATGTGGTTCCAGCTGCTGCAATACTCGCCATTTGCCGTCTCACACCACACCGCGAGAGTGGCGAGCAGTTGTGGCCAGAAATGCGCCCCACGTGGGACTACCAGCCGCTGGCTATGAGACAACCATTGAGCAACTACGAGATTTGCGCTGTTCCTCCTGGAACAGACACAATTGACGATCCTCCTGGGAGAGCCCTAACTGCCAAGGCCTACGACACGGCTCAGCAGCCACAGACACAGCCCGCCTCAGCATCATCGGCTCAGCAACCCATCGCCCCTCCGCTGGGGGCGACCCCTGCTGGCCATACAGCTGACGCTGACGCTTTGGATGAGGCCATTGTCCGTGATATGGTCAACAGTTGCGGGCACAACACACAGGAACAAGAATGGTTGATAGCTATGTCACATTGCAGAGAGGCTCTACGACCCATTACAGCAAATATTACACAGAAAGAGTGGGATCGACGGTCTATCTTCAACGATGTCCGCATGGGGGACTTCTCTATCGTCAAAAATTGGGATTCACCCAATTGCTATCACTATGACAATCACTACCCCAAGGGCAACGACAACACGAAGGTCCGCATGAACAAGGGCCATATGTATGGACCAGTCATACACTTCGGAGTCTTCGAGAAGTTCTTTGCCGTGCATATACCTATTCTCAACCACGGTTTTGATGGGTAAACGTATGGTACTGCGACAAAAATATGCCCCTCAGGGGAGTCATCTTCGCTATGCCAGTACGTGCTGACATCAACTCAGTGCACTTGAATGTCGCACTTCAGGGCCCATCTTCATGCAGTGATCAGATCAATGAATTTAAACAAACAGGTGATCTACCATATCTTGGAATGCCGGGCATTTACAAACCACGCATCCCACGTGCGCCGACCAGGCGCCCCGCTCCTCGGACACCCGATCCCGACGAGCTGGCGGCGACACCTGCCGAAGACCCCACGGCAGACGACGAGGGATCCCGACGCGACGCAGGCCAATCCACCGATCCTCTGGTCACTGTCATCGTCGACATATCGACCATACCACTCACAGACGAGGAAAGAGCAGCCAATGATACCATGAAGGCGGATTTATCGGCTGAGATTCACGCTGATGAGGACGTTGGCTCGTCCATCCTTGACAACATCATTGATCCGCCACAAGATTTCCTGACCCACCCCGACTATGACCCAGAGGACAATACTAAATGGATTGTATCATCTTACGACCACCGCGTATACCGCTGGACGTCGGAACCACTGGTGGACTCTCCAATGATAAAGGTGAAACAAATTATTGAGTTACACACTGGCAGGGCCGACCTTGTGGTGGACAGGATATAATCATGCCTGCGATTTGATAAACAATTTGGTCCAGAAACAGAAGCATACCAAATGTATTGCGATCATACCCGTAAATGGGCACGCGACTCACCGATATGCAGTGCAGATTGTTTCTTCAATAAGATGGCACATTACCTTGACCCGGAGATCATTGAGGAATCGACCACGGGAATATTCCAATGGATTTCCAAAGTGTAACCATTCATATTGTTGGACAGCATCAAGGAGCTGCATCAGTTCACCAACGATGCCATCTATCAGAACCATCCTGCCCTCAATACGTTGCGTGCTTTCTTCACAGAATGCATCAAGACACACGGCAACCCAGGCTTCCCCGCATGGAAGGAGCCGGTGGAAACGCCTGCTGCGCCTGACCTGGACGGTCCACACGCCAAGCAGGATATCCCCAGGGATCCAGGTAGCGTCGCTTCTGCAGCTCCCGACCAAGAGACCATGGTACATATCATAGCCGAGACGCAGAACATTGACATCGAGGTGGACGATAACGAGGCCATCTTGCAGGCAGAGGCTGCCCGCATTCGCGCGGAGAACGTGCACCATGGTGATATGGACGCCGCGGACACCGACACCTCCGGGTACGCAGGACTACCGGGGGAAAGGCTGTCTAGGATCGAGATCGAGGGGGTCGGGCGATCGATCGCTTCCCGTCCGACCGCAGAGGTCCATTGTGAGGCAATGAACCAAATCGGTCGTGGTCTTGCGTCCACTGACGGTGGCGTCACCCGCTGGGGATCTCTCAGGGACCTTGCCACTTCTGGGGCTCCTGAAGCGATCCAGCATGATATAGCGCGATGTCGGAATTGCGATCGTTTCCTTTCTATGGGAATCGTTGCGGGTGACGGTGCAATGTGTGATATCTGCTGGCAGTGCAGTGTCTCTGTAGGTGCCGCAGGCCAAGGTGGCGCCGCGGAGAGCGACCGAGCGTACCTCCAGCAGTTGAACTACTGGATCAAGGCGAACCTCTCCCAGGACGATGTCAACCGGCACATGTCAGATGCAGCGCGCGTCTACATGATGGGCAAGCGCTCCAAGGCTGGCCAGGAGAAGGATACCTCGAGGAAACACGCGAAGAAGGCAGAGGAGAGGTAGAAGAGGTGGCCTGACGCAGGCTCCCCTCCTGCACACATGCGCAGGATGATGGGCGAGGCTGCGGATCAGCGACCTCTATACCACCCCTTTCGCAATGTCGTACAGCGTTTCCTCAATGACCTACGTTTCCACCACCAGATGACTGCCGCTCGCATTGAGACTGGCAAAAAGGCCTGGACCATCGATGACATGCGCGACGCTTGTGACATTTATGATCACAGCGTTAGTCTTGGCTTCGCTGGTCGCAGGAACTGGTGGTTGAACGATGGTAGACTCGACAGAGGCACCAGGCAAGAGCGTGGCCTCGTCGCAATTGCTTTGCCCCGCGGGGGCGGCACTTGCGAGGGAGTCGCGCAGCGCAAGCTTGCCTAAATGGCCTCCGTCGAACCTGCCATGGGATATGCCAATCCAAGGGGGGTGAGTTCAGGGGTTAGAACCGATCCTAACGACCCCAACACACACGCACACACACACACACACACACTCCTCACACACACACACATAGCGCCATGGAGCCGCAGCAGCCGCGGCACCCGCCGCCGCCTCGCCCTGCCCATGGCGGTGCCGCTGGATCCCGCGCCTCTGGCGCGCAGGATGACACGCCCGCTGGGCCGCGCGGCGCGGCCGCCGCGCAGCGGCAGAGCGGCGACGCCAGCCGCGGACCAACAACGCCTCCACGTGCCAAGCGGGGGCGCACGACAGAGGACTACGCGACGTGGTGGCGCCGCAACCTGGAGGACAGCCAGCGGGGCCCCAGGCGCTGGGGCTACTACGCCAAATGCTGGGTATACATCGCGGACAGCAACGACGAGTTCGTGCACGTCCGCGACCTGCTGCACAACGAGAGGTTTCCCAACTGGACCCCAAGGACGCCCTGGGAGACATTCACGACGAGTTACATCGAGGATGATGGCTACAGGGTGTGGGACCAGAGGTTCTACCTGAGAGGAAACTCGTAGTTTTGTTGGCCGCAAGGCCCACTGCTCGATTGGCTTGAATTTCATATTTATACACGTTCGCCTCGAGCAACGAATACTAATATAATTGTAGGCCACTTCACTATACAAGAAAAGTGACCTCACACACACTCACACTTGTGAAACCCAAGGCAGGCCCCTAAGGAGCACCGCCGAGGGGAGTAACCAATCGCAGAATGTATTAATGCAGTTTTTCGCGTTCGTCAACACGACTCTACGCATAGCCATGCATTTGCTTTGATATTTAGATGTGTTTCTTAACGCGATCGTGTTTCTCAACACGACTCGATATTGCACATATGTTTTGCTTATTCTTTACAGTATAATTACATTGCGTTGAGAATGATCTGATGCCCAGCTCTGGTGTGAGAGCTGGTGGCAACACCTGCCGCGTTCAGGCGCGGCAGCTTCTGATGTTGCTTTAAGTTAATCAGGTCCTCTTGCTCCGCCCACCCGTGTCTCATTCTTCTCCGCCCTCGAGTGCCGAAGCGTTTTTGGGGGGCGCACCGAGGGGGCACCAAAGTGTGCTTGGCGAAGAAACAGGGACCGTGGGTGTTCCTTTTTATCCTTACTTGCCTGATCATGACAGCTGTTGTGCTACGCTACCTTTTGCGCACCGCTGCCGTGATCGGGACGCAGCTGAAGCGGTGCAGATTTCACGCTCAGCAGCCTTGCAGTGCTGAGGAATTGATGAGTAAAAGGGTGACAGGTTCTTTTCTCCTTTTCCCGAGTCCTGCCCTGGCGGGCGGGATTCGGGACAGGGGGTGTGAATAGAACCCGTATAGTACCCTCATATATACTCTTTATCCTCACCTCTCCTGCGCCTGGCCGTTTGGGCTCAGGCATTGGACTAGATCGATCAAACCTTTGATCGTGCAAGAGGAAAAGATATCTATCTTTCCCTCCTTTCCTCTACCAGCGGATCAGGGGTTCTGCACCTTTGTACTCTAACCCCATACACAACTGAAGGAAGGGAAGGACAGCAAGACCGACGGGCGACTACGGCACCCAGGGCACCATCGACCCCCGAGGCATAAGCCCCAACGAACCTGGGCCGGCCACGGCGACGAGAACCGACCAGCCAACGACGGCGGCCCCCAGCGCACACCGTCAACGCAACGCATGGACCGAACCCCCCCCCCCACTCAGCTCGGCATGGCCGTCCCGAGGCACTGCAGGTAGGGATCACGTCCTCCTCCTGCTCCTCCTCCCTCCTCCCTCCCATCCCCTTCCTCCCCCCCTCACCTCCCCCGTTGGAGCAGGGGGGTGTCCGAGGTGGAGCTGCGGCGCCCGTCTCCTCGCCGCCAGAGGGCGCCACCGCGGGGCCCGGGGGCGCGCTGCTGGTGCCGAGGCCCGCGTGCCCTCTGCTGCGGCGCGCCCGAGGGGCACCGCCCGAGAGGGCCGAGGCATTTGGACGCCGAGGGCCTTCGAGGAGTCGAGGCCCGGGGAGCCCCGCGGGGGGCCGATGCCCCAGAAGGTCGAGCCCCGTCATCCTCCTCCTCCTCCTCGTCCTCCTCCTCCTCTTCCGCCTCCTCCTGTTCCTCCTCCTCCTCTTCCTCCTCCTCCTCCTCCTCCTCCTCCTCCGCCTCCTCCTCCTCCTCCGCCTCCTCCTCCTCCTCCGCCTCCTCCTGCTCCTCCTCCTCCTCCTCTTCCTCCTCCTCCTCCTCCTCCTCCTCCTCCGCCTCCTCCGCCCTCCTCCTCCCTCCTCCTTCCTCCTCCTCCTTCTCCTCCTCATTCCTCCTCCTCCTCCTCCTCCCGCGGTCGCCAGCCCGGGCGCGCGCGCACCGCCGAGGGGGGGGGGGCGATGCCCCGCAGGCCGCGGCGAGGCCCCCCGAGGGTCGGGGCCTCTCCTGGGGAGGCGGCGAACGGCGTCGGCCGTCGCCGCCGTTCTCGTCCTCATCTTCGTCGCCCCCAGTCCCCAGACATGATCGCGTCGAACAATACAGACATCATCGCGTCGGCAAAGAAATCAGGATGTGAGATTTTGGGTTATGTTCGGCCCCCAGGGGCCCGCGCTGGGCCTCGGGGCCGTCAACAAACGACTCAGGACGAGAAACCCGTCCCAGGGAAGGGGTCGGGACTTCAAGGGACACCGTCCTGAAAAAATCAGGACGTCGCATGTCTGGGTCTATTCCCTCTTCCCCCCCATCTATCAACCGATGGTAGCACACGAAGTTTACTCGGGATTGTTCGAAATAATTGATAATCTTGATTATCGGCCGTATGAAACGTAACGCAACCTTTTACCTGACTCAGGGGCCCCTGAACATCAAACGGCAATGGTACATGGCAATCACATTGCAACGCTGCAAGCAATACTTCACATCTGTGCTAAGCTGCATACACACTGATAGGAACAATCACTACACAAATTCGATAGAACAAGGGTTATATTGACACGGGCGGAAGAAGGAGTTAGCACATATTCGCTTCAAACCAATCATCGCCTAGAACAGGGCTCCCCGGAACTTTACCAGGAAACAAAACGCAAACTCAAAACTAACCAGAACTTCAAAGCGTTCGGGAACGGGGCCGAAACTAGGACAGATAAATATCCCTGACACCGCGGGTCCCAGGACACAAACCTTGTCTGACAAGACTGTGAAACCACCGGCGGTCGCGACAGCGACATGTATCTCCTTAATTTTTTTCAGCGGCCAGGGGATCGGTCGACCTCGCCTGGCAAACAAGTCCGCGCCTCCGAAGGCGCTCAGCAAGGCGTGCTTCTCGAAGCACCTCAGCAAGTGCGGCATCGCCGCCATGTCGCCATAGGCGTGGGTCCCCTTCGTCGCGACGATCAGCTGAAGAATGCCCCGTGGGCGTACTCGGGCAGCGGCTGGAACCTCGGCTGTGCCAAGTCCAGGTTGTAGCGCGTCGGAGCCTGGCAGCACACGTTGCGCGTCTTCTTCTGCTTAACTGGCTTCGTGCTCGTCCCTGTCGTCGTGGTCTCCGCCATCGTCGGTCTGGTCGGGACTGGTCCCGTCTCTGGCTCCAGCATCTTGTAGTCTGCGCTCATCGTCTTGCTCGTCGGGCGCATCCACCACACCCCTGCGCAGAATCCACAGCTGAACGCCAGGATGAGGCATATCACGATGCCGAGGATGATCAGCTTCATGATCAGGTTGCTCCAGTCGTCGGGCGCCGGTGTGTTGAACAGCTCAACGCCGCTGGGCGTGTACTCCATCAACTCTCCAGCTGCACTCGATGCTCCGCTCGCTGCCAAGGTTGCCGCCAACCTCGCACCACTCGCGCCAAAATGGCGCTTCCTCTGTTTGGGCTTCTCCTTTGGCTTAGCCTCGAACTCGTCCGCCAGGTCGTCTCCAGCCTGGTCCAGCTCCTTCTCGCGCTGCTCCATCGCGCGCTTGGTCAGCTTCTTCCCGGCTACGAAATTCGGGTCGTACCGTAGAGCGTGAACTCCACGACGCAGCACGTCCGCCATCTGCTGGCGTGCGGAGAGCTTCGTCAACCCGTCCGCCATCTGCTGTTGGGTGTTCACCCACTTCCACACTGCGCCGATCTCTTCCATCTGCTCGTTCACGATCTTTACCTCGATGGCCGTCCGCTTCTCCGCGATGCCCAGGCCTGCCGTGGCTGACCTCGAGGCGTCGTAGAGGCACTTCGCGTCCGTAATGAACGGTGACTCTCCGAGGTACAGCATCGCTTGGTCTGGCTTGAAGTCTGGCCGCAAACTCAGCGCCAGGTAGACCTTCACCCACATCAGCGAGTCCACGCCTAGCGCAGCTGCCTGCGCCTCCGCGGACAGCGAGCTCCTGCACAGCCGCGCGAGTTTCTTCGAGGCCCACTCCATCCCCACGAACGGTGTCGGGTTGCCGGTACGCAGGTCGTCGTCGGGTCCAACGAAGATCGCGTAGCCACCCTGCGAGCTCCCGTCCAGGCGGCTCGCCCAACTCGCGCCGAAGTAGCCTCCCACGCGCAGCTCGCTCCAGGCCTTGTCGAACCCGAAGTAGAGCCCCACGTCCGCGTTGGCTTTCAGAACGCGCAGGTCCTTGTTCGCGTCCAGGAGGTCCTGCACCGTAGCACTTCCCGTAGCTGCTGCTCTGAACGAAACAGTCGCTGCGGCTATCATCACTCCCTGAGCCGCGGGCCACTGCAGCTGGCCGTTCAGGGTCCTGAAACATGTGAGCTCCTTCGGCGTCAGCGCGCTCGTCGGGTCTGCCCGGCGGTGCTTCTCGATGGTGATAGGCTTCACCGCGTGCATGTACTTCTCAAACTGCAGGGTCACCGCGCGGGTGCTGAGAGACTGCTCTACCTCGCCGCCGGCGAAGATCAGGCTCGGCCCGAAGTCCCACTTGCCGAACGTGAAGTTCTGGTCAAGCGCGCCCAGTCTCGCCTGGAAGCACTCCGAGTTGTCCAGCATGGTGTGCAGGCCGTCCTCGCAGTTGACTCCCTCGCCGCATCCGATGAAGTCGTCCACGTGCTTGCCGATCAGGCCGTCCACAACGTAGGTCTGGTCCTCGAAGCTGCGCGCGTCGAACGGGTCGTCCTCGACCTTCGCCGGGCGCAGGGGCAGCAGGAGGCAGTCCTCGAGCCAGCGGTTCCTGAACCCGATCTCCTTCGTGACTTCGTCGGAGCGGTGGTGCCGGAGCTTCGGCGACCTCGGGTCTCCGAAACATGGCTTGATCATCTTCAGCAGCTGTCCAGGTTGCAGGCCGATCTGCTGAGAGAGCATCTCCCTCATCTCCTTCGTCGGGCTCGCGTGCAGCTTGAGTCCGCGTACGCTCGCGTCCCCCGCCTGCAGGAATGCGGACTTCACATCCGCCGTGAACAGCCTCCACTTCCGTAGGGGCGCCCAGAGCATGACCGTGTGCCGGCCCAGTCTGCCCAAGGTCGGCGCTTCCGTGTCGAGCTGGCCCTCGGCGACGTCGCGATGCTTGAACACCTGGTACAGCACGCGCGCGTTAGCCACCTTCTGCCCGTCCTTCATGTTCCACTTCAGCAGGAACCGCAGCGGACAGCAGGCTGCTGGATCCACGTCTTCCTCGCTAATGGGCTCCCAGCCGTCGTTCTGGTTAAACGCCTCGAGGGCCTCCAGCTTCGCTGCGTAGAACTGGTCCTTCTCCTCGGGCGTCAGTTTCCCCTCCACAATTGTGGGGGCTTTCCGCTTGAAGGCCCGCATGTAGACCGTCTCAGTGGACTCCTCCAACAGTAGCATCTCGTCGTCCACCTCATCGAGCAGCGCGGCGTGCTCGTCGGGAGGGCTCAGCTTGGCCCACGTCAAGCGGGCTCGCTTCGACAGCGGCACGCCGTCCAGCTTCTCGGCCTCCTCCACGCTCCTCTTGGCCATCGTCTCGATGCGGGGCCGGCTTGGTTCTGGCGCTGCATGGCTCGATGCACTTCCGCTTGCAGCGGCGCCGGCATCAGCCGCTGGGGAACGTGGTGAGTCTCGATCAACTGCTTCCCCAGGATCGGCAGGTTGAGCCTCTTCGGGAGCTGCCGCTGCAGCTGCCCCCGATGCCTCGCCGGGCTCCTCCGCGTTCATCTCCTGGACGTCGGGCTCCCGCGCCTGCGGCTGGCCCCCCATGTCGTCCAGGTTGTCGTAGTACTGGGGCGTCTGCCCCTCCTCCGCCAGGCCCCTGTAGTTGCAGGTGCCCTTCGTCCGCTTCAACGCGCGGCGCAGCTTCTCGATCAAGCTGAGCGGGCTGTCGGGGTCGCCCCTGCGGCCCTCGCGCTCGCGGGCCTCGCCCGGCAGCTCGGGTCGTAGCTGCTCGACCGTGCACCTGTAGATCACGCGCCCGTGTGTGGCCCAGACCACCGAGGTGTGCATCGCGTCGTCCTCGTTGGGCTTCGCCTCCACGGCCGCCACCAGCGCGGGGCCGAACCAGTGGCACTTCTCCAGGCCACGCGAAGGCTCAGGCTTCCAGCGACACGCCGCAGCATCATCTCGTGCACCTCGCTCCTCGGGTCGACCTGCGCGGACTGCTCGGCCAGGCCGAAGTCCTCGTCGGAGAGGGCGCCCGGCACGCGGGGCTGAGTCCCCAGCGCCGGCATGGCGGGTGAGAACCCGTGCGCGCTCCGCAGTAGGTTGCGCTGGCTGGCCGTCATCCTAAGGGCCGTCTTGAGCGAGTCATCGGGGAACTGCATGTGGTACTTACTCAGTTGCTCCCTCCGAACCGCGTGGTTCCGCTCCATCAAGCCCAGCTTGTGGTGCGCGCCCTTCGGTATCAGGTCGAGCTTGATGTCGTGCTTGCTCATCCAGGAGCGCATCTTCTTGGACGTGTGCGAACCGCCCATGTCCATGCGCATCGTCTCGGGCTTGCCGGCCCAGCTGATCCAGAGCTTCTCGAAGAGCTTCTTCTCCTTCTTGAAAGTCTCCTTCGAGATGGGGTAGTCGACCTCGTACCGCGTGAACTCGTCCATCATCGCTAGGATCTTCCGCTCCTTCGTCTTCCTGGCGACGTAGTACGCGTCGGTGCTGACCACCTCGTTGAAGCGCTTGGCCTTCGGGAGCACGGCCACGCGCACGGTGCGCGGTCGCTGTCTCTTGAGGCAGATCTCGCACTGATCAAGCCTGGCGCACTGGACCCACTCTGCTGGGGCACCTGCGTGTCGCATGGCGTTGGCCAGCGCCGCGTTCGAGGGGTGTCCCAGGCTGACGTGCGCGCGCTTGACCGCGCGGATGGTCGAGACGTTGAAGCGCTTCATCAGTTCTTGCATTACGTCTGTGTACTCGATGGCGTCGATGTCCTTGCGCACTTCCTCGGCCGAGTAAATCTCTTCGATGTCGGCGGCCATGCCCTGGTAGGCAATCAGGTAAGCCATCCGTCGTGCCATCGGTGCGGGGTAGTTCTGAGCCTGCTGGGCGAGCTTGCCGCGTAGCGTCACGTGCTCGTCCCGGCACTCGCACCTCAGACCTATGTGATCGATGAACTCTTTGTTAGTGGACTGCAGTCGCGTCGGCTTCTGGTACGGCATGTCCACTCCCTTGACGGGAACTTGGCTCCCAGGCGGCACTGGTCCAGCCGGCAGTGGTGGCCCGGCAGCGTCTTCCACGTCTTGGTGCTCCAGTGCGCTCCTGACCAGGGGCCTTCCACATAGGCGTGTCGGCCTCCATTCAGCTGCTTCACGAACGAGTCACGGACCAATTTCAGAAACGTCTTCTCCTCGCGTACCCGCGCCTCGTGGATCTCCGCGGCGTGCTCCGCTGAGAGCGAGGCGTTCACGTACTGCCACGAGCACCGCGGGGGTGCGAAGAAAATGTCGTCGGGCCTCTCGACGTCGATCTTCCTCAGGAACGCCTTAATCACCTTCGGCTTGGAGAAGTCCCAGCCACCCTCGAGGCGAAACTGCGTGACGTCCACCATGGGGTACTCAAGCGGCGCCTGGGACAGTCCTGCTGCGTCCACGAACACCTCCCAGACCTTGCGCGGCGGGGGTCCTCGGAGCATCTCCTTCATGCCG